ACATTCACTCTTTGCGAATTATAATATCTAATCAAAGTGTTCTGTTGTTCTTCTATGTAGCTATTCTTTTTACCTCACACTTCTGTTTATTATCTCTGTCTTTTGAGTCTCTGTTTGCTCTCTTCTCTTGTTTTGTGTGCTACATGGAGGGGGACTGGCAATGCAAACTGTTGCACATCTGTGTAAAATTCTATGCTGGAACCAGTCAGTCAGCCATTTATCTTGCCACACAGAATATGGTATGGCTGAACCTTTATATTTACCCTTACGAGTATAAATTCTTATGAAAATTCTTATAGTTTCACCTCCGGAGAGGTGAAGGGCTAAAGCTGCGAATAAATAGGAAGGTTTCCCGTATCAGATAAGATGACTTTAGGTAACTTCTTCCAGGAATTTAGGTACCTACTGACAAGTGCAGTGTCAGTTAGTTGGGTCAGAGGCACACACACACACGCCATTAACCCTGCTTACAACTTTCAATGTTCTACGTAATATGGGTGGGGATGGCGAATCTAAAGGAAGGATAAGGGGAGTGAAAGAAAAGGAGGATGAACAGAATACACGAATTAATAAATTTTAAGAGAAGAGGTTGATACACGGCAGAAAGTCTCCTTTTTTAAGTAATAATAATAATAACTTTATTCCAAACAATAATGATTATACCCAATGTAATTTTCATCGTATTTATACATATTGCAACAATTTAGCTCCTTTTATAAATATATGAGTACATTTAATTCAAAGTAATAATAATAATGCGTCGGTGGCACAGTGGTAGACTGCACGCCAACCACGCCTCACGTGGTCCGAGGTTCAATCCCCAGTTGATGCACCTCTTTACCTCACTTAGCCAGTAATAAGACTGGTAGAGAGGGAAGGTTGGGCATCCCGTAAAAATAAACACCACTGCTACCGAAACTTCAAGCCTCTCACTTGAAGCCATATGTTCCACTAGGAGCATAAGGGAATAATAATAATATTAAAAATAAAACCACCACTATAAACAGAATGTTGGCGGTAACATAATGAAGTACAAGTAGATCAATAGCATCATGGATAAAACATGTAATAGTAATAATGATCTTTGCTTATACTTTTCACTTCAGTTACTCATTTTAAAAGATTATTTATAAGTCGCTTTCTGACACCTGACTCTCTCTTCACACAACCAACACTCGTGCTAAATTTGGTGGTATTATTATTTCCTTTAATTCCTAGAGGAGCAAAGGGCTTCAGCTGCATGTCTCCACTGGGTTCGGTTCTCTGCTAAATTTTTCACTCCCCTCCAAGTTTGCCCACATTTTTTCATCTCCTCCTCACATGACCTCCTCCAAGTCACCCCTGCACTGACGACCGACTCGCCGCTTCCCTTTCGGCCTGGTTCCACTCAAGCGATGGCTTGTCTAGTGATGTCACTTGATGGTTTCCTCAGAGTGTGGCCACCAATTCACCTCCATTTCTTCCTGGCTATTTGTTATACAATCGGCTCCTGATTTGGTTCGCTCATTGCCAGAGATCCCTGTTGGTGATCTTTTCTGACCAGCCGTTTGATCTTGAGTAGTAATGAGCGAAGACAACTGTTGATGAAGATTTGTAGTTTGTTTGAGGTGTTCTATATGACGTGCCAAGTCTCTGATCCGTATAGTAGCACTGATTCACTTCACATTGGAGTTGAAAATCCGGATCTTATTTTTCGTGCCGAGTGCTGTTGGTATGGTGGTATGGCAGAATTTTTATATTTAGTAGCTGTACGAGCATAAATGCTTCTTATTAAGTTTCTTCTGGTTTCACCCGCCGAAAGAACGAACATATTTGCAGGAGAATACGAGCTTGTTTTATTTCGTGGGTTCTTTTCAACTGCGTACTACATCGCAGAAGCCACTGCCATCAAAAGACTTTGACCCAACCTATGCATACGAAAGAAAGTGTGACTAATCTCTCACTACCCTAACTGGTAACCATAATTGTTTTGTTCGTATTGTCTTGTGTTTTGTTCTGCTGCATGACATTCCACTCAATTTAAATTTTGATTTTCACTCACTGTGTTGAACTCGCCGGTAAGCTTCCAAATCTGGTAAATTAAATTTTTTTTATCTATTTTATAATTTTACCTAACTATTCACCCTCACCCTCCTGAACTCTCCACTGTAATATGTATAAATTCAGCCTGCTGTTTTATCTTGTATTTTTTCTCTGGTCCATCCTTGTTTCCATGCGAAATCTGAATCCCACCACTCTGTCCAAATACTATGTAAATAGTTACCCTATTAACACACTAAATAATTGTCTAATTACATCATCCTTGAAATTATGTTGCTTTTACATACTTCCCATCTATAACTTGAAATCATTGTGGAAGAAGTATGTTCAGACACCATTTTGTAACATATAGTTGATTTAATTGAATTTGAGATTTTCCCGTCGATTGATTGGACCGAAGTGCTCGGTTTCAGGTTGACATGTCGGCTTCTTGTGCAGATGCAGAAGCAGACATGTCAACCTGAGACCTAGCACTTCGGTCCAATCAATCGATGGGAAAATCTCAAATTCACTTAAATTAATGTGACCCATTGCACAAGAGGTGACTCTCGTGGCCCAAGTGGTCTAGTGGATAACGCTTTGGCGTTTGAAACTATGGGAACTGAGTTCGAGCCTCGGTGGGAACATCACCACTCACTGAGAAATGCAGGTACATCCAGCTGGTAGACGAGTCCCGAATAGGACGAAATGCGCATCCTGGATTCCACTTCTAGTCACCATCCACCAATTAAATATAACTGATTTATTTAGGATTTACATATTTGGAGAGAGAGAGAATTCATGAAATAAAATGAGCTCGTATTCTCCTACCTGTAAATATCTTCGTTCTTTCTTTACTCAAACTAATAAAGGGAACCGGGTGTATGAAATATAGTAATACTTTTGGGCTAACAAGGAGACTAGGAGATTTGAACCTAGCGGATGATTTTTTAATGTCACACAAACCCAAAGACTTACAGACGAAAACCAATAAGTTGACAGAAGAGGCCGGTTGCAAAGGCAGGACTTCACGTGAACAAGGACAAGACAGAGGTGTGGAAGATACCTGACTTTCGACAATAACAAGCACCAGTCACCATGACGGGGGTGATTTTAAGGAAGTCAATTCTTTCGCTTATCTAGAAGGTATCTTGTCAACTAAAGGCAAATGGCATGAATAAGAACGTCGAAGCCAGCCAGGATCGGAAAGGCAAGACAGACACAGAGGTACTACTCTGAAATCAGTTTAGAAATCTCCTGCACTCAACATAAGGATAAAGATTCGGATTTTCAGCACTAATGGCAGACTTTTATCAATAGCTGCCATCTTCGCTGGCTGGCTCCATACTGAAGATCGGATGTCTGGCCAGAAAGAATTATTATTATTGCTCCCTTGGGTTCCTAGTGGAACATAGGGCTTCAACTGCACGTCTCCACTTGCTTCTGCTGTACTTTTCACCTGCATCCATGTTAGTCCATATTGTTTCAACTCCTCCTCACACGATCTCCTCCATTTCACCCTCTCACTGACGACCAACTCGCGGTTTCCCTTTCAGGTTCCATTCGAGCAATGACCTAACGCGCGTGGGATGTTACTTAGAGGCCTCCTCAGCGAGTGACCAATCCATCTCCACTTTCTCCTGCATATTTGTTAGCTGGCGATAAGTTCTTGTTTTGTTTCTTCCCATAGTTTCTTGTTGGTGATTCTTTCCTGCCCGGCCATCTGATTGATCTTCAGTATAAAGCGAGGACAGTTGTTAATAAAGTTCTGCAACCTTTTGGAAATATTCTTTGTGACCCAGAAAGAATTAGCAACAAGAAACTCTGCGGCTGGGAACAAACCAACCAAGATCTTATTACTCGACAAATATACCGTAGGAAACGGAGTCAGGTCAGACACACTTTGTGGAGGTCGTCAAGTAGAACCCTAATGGGAAACGACTAAGTTCGATGCGGGGGTCGATTGTGACATGGAGGAGATCATGTGACGAAGAAATGAAAGATTATGGGCAGTCGTGGATCCAGATGAAGAGAAATGCCAACAACAAGATGAAATGGTGACGTGGTGTTAATGCCGTATGTTCCACTTGGAACCTAAGAGAATCATAATAATAAATGTAATGAGTTATATAGGCTAGAGAATAAACTGTAGAAACAATGCCCAAGAGTTGGTTTGTAAGGATTAGATTTGTTTTTACGAGTTTGACCACGGATTGATATCAGTTAGAGAACCACTGAAAACCAGCAGGGAGTACTGGACAGCTGTTTCATCCTGGGTGCGAACCCCATTGGGTGAGTATTCCCGATGATTCCCAATAGACTGGGATGAAACGGCTGTCCAGAACTGCTTATGGCTGCTTTTCAATGGCTCTGTAACTAATCTCAGTCCGTGGTCAAACTCGTAAAACAAACAATATCGTTTTTCAAGTGTTAGTTTGTAGGGATTTGATTGGTTTCAGGATTTCATCATGAGCTGACATTAGTTAGAGAACCATTGGAAAACCTGGGAGTACTGGACAGCTGTTTCTTCCTAGTTTGGGACTCTTCAGCAGTACGCGCCCACCGGGATTCGAACTCAGGACCTTCCGGTTACAAGGCGAGCTCGTATACCATTAAGCCACTGGGACCCGATCGTTTTGTTTTTCATTCATTAAGGAAATACAAATTCTTTTATTAATAGAGAGAAAACTGATAGAATTCATTGGACACATAAGAACACATTTCACCTGAAACAACCTCGTTTTTTATCTTATCAGCAAGAGTATACGCAAATAAACAAGTTAATCGGATCACCGTCTGTCTGTATTGATTGTTTAGTACACTAAATATAATGAGAATTCATGAAGCAATTGAGAACACACTGATTGGTTGATTATTCATTACAGGTCAAATGGCTTTTTATATTTTAACCAATCAAATTACAGATTGACTAATTCTACATTTGGCGAATAGGAAAGCACTTTCATTAATGTCTTTTCGGCTGTAGATTTACTGCTATTATTACCATTATTATTCTTTCAAAGCTTCCGTATCAGTAGTGGTAATAACAGCAGTAGTATTACACTTGATTACAACACCCAGTACTGTTGCAAACTAGTCGAAAGAAAAATGTCTGCAGTCGGTATATCAGAATGGTTAGCTAAGAAATTGTTACCACCAAAACCAGATCCTCGACTGGATGCCTATCCATTGATGGCTTCTTGGACGCCAACAGCACTCATCTCACTCACCTATGTCATTGGTGTATATGCCTGGCGAGCGGAATGCCTGAAAAGAAAAGAAAAACAAAACAAGACGAAAGGCGAGTATAATAACTTCAAAAGAAATAAGAGTGACGAGAAATGGGATTTTGTTAAATATTTAATGGTTTTGTATAACATATTGATGGTGATCTATTCATGTGTAATTACATTCGGTACACTATGGGCTGTATGGACTTTAGGCTATGGACTCGGGTGTGAAGAACAACCTGATCCAAGGGATGCTAAATACGATATACTTGTATTGGTTGGATATCTATTCTACTTCTCGAAATTTGTTGAAATGTTGGATACAGTGTTCTTTTTATGGCGTGGAAAAGTTGATCAAGTGACATTTTTGCATGTTTTTCATCATGCTACTATGCCACCATCAATTTGGTGGGGAGTGAAATATGCACCAGGTAAGTCGAAGAATAATTTTTGCATCTGTTGTCAATGTTCATGTTAAGGTTTTTATTGTTGTGGGTTATATCTTCTTGTGTTTTTGTCATCAAGACATTGGAAGATAAAGCCTTTGAAACTTAGATTCGACAATAATCGATTTCATAGCTTTGACATTAGCCGGTTCACGAGACATAAATAAAAAAGAGACACGTAATTCAGTGGAAAGACTCTTTTTCAATAAATCCACTCTCTTTAACTATACAGTCGCAACTATATAGTTATTTCATGAAAGAGGATAGTAAACGAAGTAAAGAGTTGTCATAATCATAGTCGTTAACATGTATCAATATATAAGAAAAGTTGAATAACGGCTTTTAGCGTTATGTAATAAGATGACTAGTTTAATGTATAGTCGAATTGGTTGAGTAATTTTCTTTTGTATGCATAGGTCCGGTATCTGTAACTGAATGACTAGAGCTTCAGTGATGCACAGAAGACGAAACCATACTGCCTTTAACGGTTTATTTTTCACATAGTAGATTACCTTGAAGGAGGAGGCAAGTATACTGATAATTCGATGCGTATCCTATCGAAAAAGCCTTCAAGAACACTATCCGAAATTTTCAAAAGAATGGATACTGAACGAAGAGTACTCTTTTAGATAACTTTATCATCAGGCTCTACAGTCATATAAACACTATAATGAATGAATGAATGAATTAGCGTTATGAACAATGTTAGTGTTGTTTAAATAACATCGAATCAATAATATTGATAGATTACAGCTCAATAGCATCAACATAATGTAAGCTGAATGTCAGAAAAATTAGGGGAGATAATATTACATATTCATGAGTTTATATTTTCTACTGAAGGCCAGGGCAGTAGTAATGGCAGGATGGACTTGCATCTTTTGAACACAGAGCACTGGTTGTTTGAGGCGAATTGCAATAGCCTCTGCTGTTTGGAGCGTGTGATACCTCGATGTTTTAGGCAATTTATTAGGCACCCGGTAGATTATAGAGAAGCATTCTTCCATCCTGGCTTTGTGGCAGGTTTGCACCAGATGGTCCAATATCGAACTGTTAATGGTTTTAACTACACCTTTACTTAGCCATGCTGGGAGATGTTCTTGAGCGCGAAAAATCAAGTTCCTAGAGCAACGGCCGATATAACTCGCTCCACCACAAGCGCAGTTGAATTGGTAGACACAATTTGAAGTGGCTAGTCTAGGTACTTCACCTTTCATTTGGGGAATCCCCATAGGTCGTTTAGAGAATAAAACGTGTAGTTCGCCAGCACTATAAGGTCTTTGAACTGATTTTCTTGATTTCTTCGTAATTATCTCACTTGGTATATCGCCCTTGAATTGTAGTCTTTCATAAAGAGGCATCTTGTTTACAGACAGTGAGTAGTCCTTTTCACCTTTATTTGTCATGTGTTTCTTGATAAATTTGTCGGGATAGCCATTTTCGATCAAAGTATCACATACAATGCGTAATTCATCTTCAGTTACTTCTTCTGAGCATATAGCTCTAACTCTGTGGCTGAGGGTCTTCACTAAATTTCTTTTGTACTTGATAGGAACGAAGCTGTGAAAATGTATATATTGTCCTGTCCAAGTGCTCTTTCTATGCAAATTTCTTTCTATGCTACCATCTGGTTTTCTTGTAAGTAGGACATTCAGGAAGGCGATTCTGTCTTGGATTCCTCTTCACATGTGAATTTCATAGCCGAATGTACTTCATTGAATTCAGTAATTATTGTACTCCTATCAGAACCATTATCACAAAGAATAAAGGCATCATCTATATATCGGCAATAAAACTATCCGAAATGGTTGCAGAAAGATATCACTGCCTCTGTAGTTAGTGGGATTATTGAACACCTTGTCAACACTAGTCGTTTTATCTCAACAAACGCCTCCTTCCACGTAATCTACAAGGTGAAGATTAGTCTGTCAAAGGTAATAAATACCATGTTATCTTATTTGCATTGCTTAGCCATTAAAGTAGAGAAGCTGGGGCTGTGCATACAGAAGAAAATTACTTAACCACTCCCATTATTATGTTAATAACCTTATTGATTTCTACTAACTTCAGCTTTGTTCGATTGTTTTTCTAACTCCTTATAACTCCTGTATTTCTTTAAAGCTATTTCCTTCGGTTCTATGTGTATTCTGATTACAGCTCATTCATTAAATTATTCATCTGATTACGCAACTCCAATACACTTATTCAACTCGTCTTACGCAATGACTAATATTAACCATTATGATTATTATTAGACAGAAGACCAGTAGTTCAGTGAAGAGTCACTTTTCGGCGGCGAATTCATTTTCATAGCTGTATAATCGCAAATATATGAGTTATTTTGTATGCATGTGTACATTAAATATAAGAGGGTAGTAAGAAAAGCAAATGATGAGTTGTGTTCAGGTTGTACATTGAGCACAGCTCTTTCATTAAACTATTCATGTTATTACATAACTCTTCTTTAACAATCATTTGTGACAACTCATCGCTTACTAATTGTAATTGTCGTTTGACAAATTTAATGTACGCATGCACACATACAAAACAGCCGTATATATTTGCAGTTGTACAGGTATGAAAAATGAATCCGCCGCTGAAAAGAGACTCTTCGCTGAACTACTACTGGTCTTCTGTCTATCATTAATGTTCGAATAGGGATTTTTCATTATAATTATGACAACTGATCACTTTTGCTACTACCCTGTTTCATGAAAAATTGTATATAAATGCGATTTCACAGCTAAAGAAAGTGAATTCACCGAAGACAACCAACTACGTGTTTTGCCTTCGTGTTATAAGTTATCTTCTTTTGAGGCATAGGGTTATTTGAATTGAATTTTTGATTTTCCCGTCGATTGATTGGACCGAAGTGCTCAGTCTCAGGTTGACATGTCGGCTTCTTGTGCAGATGCTTCGACGATGTCCAGGCATTTAGTTAGGATACAATTGGTGGATGGTGGCTAGCAGTGGAATCCAGGATGCGCATGTCGTTTGGATAACGCTTTGGCGTTTGAAACTATGGGTACTGGGTTCGAGCCTCGGTGGGAACATCATCACTCACTGGGAAATGCAGGTACATCCAGATGACGAGTCCCAAATAGGACGAAATGCGCATCCTGGATTCCACTGCTAGCCACCATCCACCAATTGTATACATAGGGTTATTTATCTATTTATTTTATTTTCGATTACACCTCGATTCCGCAGTGTATTTTTGGTACAAGTATGAAATTTTCAGCATGGATGTCGGTAGCCCAAATTTTGCAGTGCGACCATAGATATCTGGTGTGGGTCAACAGGAGATCGAACCTCGGACCATGTGTGTATGGTCGGCAAGAGTCCTAACCACTGTATAAGCAGGGCTAATTGTTGGATGAAATTGTAAGGCTGCATCGACTGGTTTGGCTAAGACACGTGCTGTGCGTGCTAAGCCACTGCCTTCCCTGTCGAACAGTGTTAGAAGTAGCGGATTTCTTTTATGACTACTAGTTTATTACACACAACTCCTTTGCTACTTTTTTCCAAGCCTTTATTTTCTGGTTAGTCTTGAACTTCCCGTATGTTAGTTACATAAGCGTGATGTTCTGAGCACCGTTTACTAAGTTTGGAGTCTTCTGTCAACTGACATCACGCTACGTTTGCAATGATTTTGAAACTGTTTTTTAATAATAATAATGATTTACTTTATTCCAAAAACAGTACTTGTGATACAGAATGGAATTTTCAGCATTAATCACAATATTGCATCTAATTTCCTCAAATTATAAATAAAATTAATCACACAGAAAATTTTCCACATTTACAATAGAGGTAGTGTCAAAAACATGCAGCATATAAAATGGAAATAGCAATAATAATGATAACAGCTAGGGTAATAATAATACAAGTGAAAATTGCCGTTGGCTTGTGTCACACAGTATTGGCAATGTGGTATAGAAATCCTAACATGTTTAAAAATATTGAATATAATGTTCTCTTTACATGATATGGTGAAGGGAAAAACAAAGATTACAGCCGTCATGGAGATAAGTTGGTGTTTGCAATTATGAGAGTAAAACAAAGAAGAAGTAACAGGACCATAAATATAATAGAAGTAATAAAAGTAAAACTTGAAGGTATATAAGGATGGATGGAGGAAATTGTTTATTTACTAGATGAAAAAAGGTTAGTTAATTCTTGCCTGACACTATTTTCATCACATAAAATACGTGCCAAGTATGGTATCATAGAATTTTATACTTAGACGTGCGAGCATACAGTTTTCTGAAGTTACTCCTTGTTCTACCTGAGGAGATGCAAGGTGAAAGCTGAGGGTAAAGCGGATGCTCCAAGTCAGACAAAATCCCTTTAGCAAATTTATTGCACGAAGTCAAGTGCCTATCGACAACGACGTTAACTATGTGGTCCACTGGGACACCACTCACCCTACTGACAGTCTTCAGTATTCTACGAATTGTGACATAGTCTTTTTTAAGCAAACCAGGAAAGAATAAGGGTGAACAATAAAGAAGAATAGGTAGGATGCAAGAGTTTATGAACTGTAAGAGGAGGGGTTGAGTTATACCCGAGTGTCTTAACTTCTTAATGTAAAATGTCAGGCGGAATATTTTACTGGAGATTGCTAAGACATGGGAAGACCAGGAGAGATCAGAAGAGAGAATGAGTCCAAGATACTTAATTTCTGATTTGATTCCTATATCATTGTCGTCAATTTTACAAGTGTCATGAGAATCGATGACTTCTTTTAACTGTCGTTTACATCTTAAGCTGAAATCAACAGTTTGACACTTAGAAGGATTCAGTTTAAGACCGTTAGACTCAGACCATTTGCTGACTTCCGATAGAAAGCTATTTATTTTAGTACAATCTAGCTGGGAGTTAACAGCCATTGAAACCGTTAAATCATCAGCGTACTTCACAAAGTTTATTTCATCAGAGTGAGGCAAGTCATGCAAGAAGAAAGAAAAAAGAAAAGGAGAAAG